CTATCAGTCCTCGAGCGCGAGTTCCCCGAAAGTTACCGTAGCAACGGACAATGCGAGGCAGATGCAATTTGGCTGCTCCTTCGAGGGGAGCGGCTGGCTGAATACATTGACGGCATGAACCTACCTGCGGAAGAACGAGTACGAGGGGGACAAGACGATGAACATCCGGGGCTGCGGGGAGTTTATCAGCATCACGAGGGGAATGCGAGGGATGAAGCAAGGGAAAGGCGTGTCGCACAAGATCGGGACGCCGATAGTGACCAAGCCGACCACCCCGAGGACTTCGAACCCACCGCCTTGATGCAGACCTCGCTGAGGGGGAGACCAATGCAGGGAGGACCCCCCACACCGCCAGCCACGGACACTACGTGCACCTCTACCTCCACTACGACTACGCCGCAGCAAGGGGACAACCTCGCCGAACCCACCGCTCCAGGAACACCAAGGAGAAGCAGAAGCCCCTCTAGAAGGGGAGAAAACCGCACGGCGCCAACGACGGGAAGGGCGCAACAAACCCCCAGTCCCGTCCATCGCGCCAGAAGCCAAGCCTCGCAACTCATGGCGTCCATTGCCTCGGAGACACAAGCTGCAGCGGAGTATGCCCCCAATGCCGAGGAATTAGGGGGACAAAAACGCGAGGCCGCAGCAGCCGAAGCGCTGGATCTCATCACGGAAGCAATGGGGGTGGCAAACGACGTGGGGATGCCGGGGGTCGTCGACTACCTCTCAGCCGCAGCCACAAGACTATCGCAGGTCCACTTGGTTCGGAGACCGGGGACGAATCGAGGGGGACGACCGCTACCTACGCCCAATGCCTTCGAGATCGCAGCGCTCACAGTGGGGATAATGGAAGAGAGCGAGCAACAGGGGGAGCCACCATCCATGGCGGAACTACTGGAACTGCTGGAGCTGGTACAAGCGGGCATGGCACTCCTCACCAGGGGGAGACACAGCTATAATTGGCAGGTCACGCACTGGGCTACAGATGCAGCAGAAGAAGCCCTAGCATTGTTGACAGTGGCCACGGCAACAGACCATGTGGGGGAACTTCAGCAAGTTCAACCGGATGTGGGGGACACACTCCCACGACTACGCAACCTCCTGGATGAAGCAGCCACAGGAGTGGGGGTCCTAGTGGGGATCTACCCACATCGGGGAGAAGCGGAACAAGTTCACCCAGCAGATGCCATAGCCCAACAAGAGGACCGGCACCAACAAGTCCAACACCCTCGCCGAGACCCACCGGATGCACTACATATCTACAAAGCGCAACGCCATCTACGTCAACTAGTCCCATTCCTTGACGGGGACATGCGAGAACTGGGGAACCAAGCGCTTGCGCACCTGGGGGACTGGATCCAGTCCCATTGGGGGGAGCCAGTCCAGCTCCTCAGCAGCGACGACGAGACGAGCCAACCACAGCAGGAGCGTCCTGCACAGCCAACAGCTCACGAGGATGAAGGAAGCCCACGGCTAGAGGGGGCTCCGTACATAAACGAAGGGGCAGCTGAGACACTTGTGGACCTGACGAGCGGGGCGACCAGTTCCACGACTCCCTTTACACGATCAGCCGCACCAAGACCTGAGGGGGAGTACAACGAAGCCCCCAGTGAGCCAAAGAGCCGTAGGAGGCGAGGGTTCACAAGCCCAAGCTCGCTTGACAACGATGATTAATGCTATACCGGGGGTTTTGCTGTGTCCTTTTCTAGGGGGGATCTTTACTTACATGTCGGAGAGCAAGGGTGAGGAACCGCAGCACAAGGCATCTCGCTCCCAAAGTGACCAGGCACTCAGAGGGTAGCTAGCGTGTTGTGTGTTGGAGTGATGTGTTCTGTAGTCTCAGTTGTTGTGCACCGGATGTCTGGCAAACCCCCATAAGGGGGGAACGAGAAGCCATAGCTGGGACCAGAAGTTCGCAGAAATGCTAGGGGTCCGTGCCCCATGCACCAAGGCAGGGGGCCAACCAACAAAGAAGGGGGTTGAGAGTAGCCTGTGAGCTGTTGTCATTGCTGCTTCCCCTGTGTTAAAGGGCCCCTTGCCGACTGAGTCAACAACACGGAATACATAACATCTCCGAAAGAGTAGAGGCTTTGGGGGTGGGAAGGTGTCAGGTAGTGCTGCCGTGAAGGTTCTGTTCGGTGTCAGGTGGGGAGGCAGGTAGGTTGGGTTAATCCGGTAGAGTGCTGTCAGAATGCGAGGGCCGGCGAGTGAACCTTGTGGCTAATCACCTTCTTGTGTTCAACTTAGCCAGGTGGAGCTTTGTGTTGTCTGGTGCTTTGCTAGATGCTGGGCCTCTGCCATCAAGGGGAGTGGAGCTCCCGCTAGTGTCCCAAAAGGAAGCGCTGGATGACCCCAGTGGTGCCTCAGAAGGTTTCCTATGGTCATGGTCTTAGCAGGGGTGTTTTTGGGGGAAAGGATTACAAGGCACACTGGGGGGAACAGATTTCCTTCCCCAACAGGGGGTAGCTCAGACGTACAAGCGCGGACCTTTGAGGGGTTGGCCTACGGGCCGGGGGCTTTGCCCCAAACCCCAGGCAAGCAAGCAAGCAAG